GTAGATCGGCGTCTCATCCTCGTCTCGAAAACCTCCTTTGACGCAATCTTGTGAGTACCCGAGGATGTCACTTATAAGAAAATCTTTACTCTTTTTATCTGTCTTTTCTTTTCTTTTCTTTTCTCTTTTTTTTTTTTCCTTTTCTCTTTTTTTTTTAACGACGAACTAGTCAGACACACGACTGCTTTTGACACTTCGACAACAGCAGCGATGGTCTATTGACATGTAACTTTTTTTTTTTTTTTTTTCTTTTCTTTTTTTTGAGAATCTGTTCATTCCAGTGATGTATGGTGCGTGCATGTGGTGTGGCGGTGAAAGGGAAGGGAGGGGAGGGGAGGGGAGGGGAGGTGAGGTGTGGGAGTGGAGGAGGAGGGGGAGGCAAGGGAGAAGAGGGAAGAGTAGAGGAGGGGAGGGAGGGGAGGGGAGGGAAGGAGGAGGAGAGGGAAGAGGAGAGGACGAGGCAGGGAGAGGGGAGGAGAGGAGGGGAGGGAAGGGGAGGATGGAGAGAGTGGGCGGGGGTTGAGGAAGAGGTAGGAGAAGGGGTAGGGGGAGGACTTAGAAAGCAAAGGGGGAGAGGAAGGGAAAGGGGAGGAGGGGAAGGAGAGAGGGAGAGAAGGAGGGAGGAGGGGAAGGAGAGGGAAGGAGAGCATGAAACGAATAGAAAGAAAGGAGAGGGAGGAGGGAAGAGGAAAGGGAGAGGGAGGAAGAGAAGGGGAAAGGAGGATGGGAAAAGGGAAAGGGGAAAGGTGAGAGCTAGGGGGGGGGGTGAGGAGGAAAGTGTTGAAAAGAGCGGAAACTAGGAGTACAAAAGGTCTTTGAAAGGAGGGAATTTTAGGAGGAGGCTGAGGAGGAGGAGGAGGAAGATGATGATGAAGAAGACGAGAGGGAGAGAGGGGCAGGAAGAGGAGCAAAATGGTAGTAAATAGGGGGACTGTGTAAATGGAAATAAATAAGGTAGTGGAGATAGAGAGAGAGTCAGAGGAAACAGAAACGTCATCAGAAGAGAGAGAGAGAAAGAGTGAGAGAGAGAGAGAGAGAGAGAGAGAGAGAGAGAGAGAGAGAGAGAGAGAGAGAAAGAAAGACGGCATGAGAATAACAGACCGACCTTAATAGAAACTTACCTACAGAGAAAAAGAGAAAAAGAGAAAGAAAAAAAGCAAACAGACCGAAACAGAAAGAGAAACAACGACAGTTACAACGCGCAGTCGACTAATTGACGCCGTAGCTCACGCACCGGCAGGAACCCGGCCTTCGCTCGCCGCCGGCGGAGGCGCTGAAGGTGTGGGCTGGGTGGGGGGGGGGGGAGGTACGTGTGTGTGTGTGTGTGTGTGTGTGTGTGTGTTTGTGTGTGTCTGCGTGTGTCTGCGTGTTGGGGTGGGGGTGGGGGGAGGTACGCGCGTGTGTGTGTGTGTGTGTGTGTGTGTGTGTGTGTGTGTGTGTGTGTGTGTGTGTGTGTTTGTGCTTGTGTGTGTGTTTGTTGGGGGGGGGGGGTGTACGTGTGTGTATTTGTACGTGTGAGGGCGTACGTGCGTGCGTGAATGAGGGGGGGGGGGATAGGAGGTACGTGTGTGTGTGTGTGTGTGTGCGTGCGTGTGTGTGTATGTGTGTATATGTGTGTGTGTTTATTATCGTGATGGAGGAGGCGCGAGTGTCAGGTGGAGCGAGGGAAGTTTCTGGAAGATGGCGCGCTGGGGCCGATTTATTGCTTGCGCGGGAAAGAGTGAGAAAGGGGGTGAAGGGGGGGGGAGGGTAGGAGGGAGGGGTATAAAGGGACAGGGAGGGAGGGAAGGACAGGGGAGAGAGAAGAAGAGAGAGAGAGAGAGGGAGGGAGGGATGGAGGGAGGGAGGGAGTGGAGAGGAGAGGGAAAGAGAGAGAGAAAGAAAGAAAGAGAGAGGGAGAAAAAGAGAGGAGGGGAGTGAAAGAGAGAGAGAGAGAGAGAGAATTGGATCGTTTATTTATGTGTTTTTATGTTTTATTTGCTTCGATTTATATTGTGTTTCCTTTTTGTTTTTGTTTTGTTTCCCTTTGATATATCGGGCGGTATTTTTGCTGTTATTACGCATCGTTCGGGTGTTCTGTTAGTAAACTTTTTATTTATTCATTTATTTGTCCTATGATACCCTACCTCCCCTCTTTTTCATGTGCCTCTCCTATCGGGAATCTCACTCTCTCTCTCTCTCTCTCTCTCTCTCTCTCTCTCTCTCTCTCTCTCTCTCTCTCTCTCTCTCTCTCTCTCTCTCCGCCTCTCTCTCTCTCTCTCTCTCTCTCTCTCTCTCTCTCTCTCTCTCTCTCTCCTCTCTCTCTCTCTCTCTCTCTCTATTCACCCACATCCTTTCCTCCCTACCCCCTCGCCTCCCTCCGTCCCTCCCTCCCTCCCTCCCTCCCTCCCTCCCTCCCAACCCCCTCCCCCTCCCTACCCCGCCCTCCCTCTTGTCTCGAGCCTGAAAAATGCGCTTAGTCGACATTTGTGTCTATCAAGCATAAAGTTCCAAATTTGATTATGCTAATGCTTAGACCCAGCCAAGGGCCTCGGGGCGTTTTTTGATGACGTGCAGCATCACATGGGCGATTATTCACCATCTTTCTCCCCTCCTGCCCTCCCCTCTTCTCCCTTCTCGCTTTCTGTTTGTTTGTCTGTTGATTTGTCGGTCTGTTTCTGTTCCTGTTGTCGTTGTCTTTCCCTCCCTCATGTTATTTGTCTGACTGTGTATCTGTTTTTTGTTTTGTTTTTTTCTTCCTCTCGTGTTTTTCTCGGTCTTTTATTCGTATCGCTATCAGTATTTCTTGTTTTTCTTCTTTCCTTTCTCCTTCTTTTCTCTCTCTCCCTCTTATTCTATTTTCTTTCTTTTTCCGTACCCTTTCTATATCTCCTTTCACTTCTCTCTCTTTTTTTTCCCCTTCCTTCCCTCTGGTCCCCTTCTTTCTCTCTTTCTGCCTACCTCTCTATCCATATATCTCCCCATATCTCTCTCCGTTCTTCCCCTTTGTTTTTTTAACCCTTTCTCTCTTATTCGGCTTGTTGCTCCCCCGTCTGTATCTCCTTTTCGCAAACGCTCCGTAGTTGAAACCGGGCGGCGCTGTCCGTAGATTTATCACACGGATCGCATTGGCTGCAGATGTGTTTGTGTCTGTCTGAGGATTTATAGGCTGGGTAGAAAGGAATTTATTTTTATTTTCTCTAACTCTCCAGTGGTCGTGGCTTCGGCCGTAGCGTTGGTATAGCACTGTCTGCACTTAAATGGCCGTGTTTCAGTAGCCTTTTCAAAATCTCCAACGTTGGAGGGAAAGAGGCGTTGGTAGGGGTGGGGAGGTGGGGGGGTGGAAGGAGGGAGAATAGCGGGAATGGCTTAGGGGGGAGGAGCAGCTGAGAACTATAGGTTGCTGGGGGATAGGGGGAGGGGGTTAGGTGAAAACTAGAGGTAGGAAGGAAAGGGATAGAGGTAGGGGGAAGGATGGGGCTGGGAATAGTGAGGAGAGGAGAAGCAGGGATGAGGGAGTGAGAGGAGGGGGAAAAGAGAGGGGAGGAGAGGAAAAGAGTTAGAATGGGGATAGGGAAGGGGGTAAGAATGATTAGGAGGAAGAGGAATAGAGAGCTGTTTCACCGCTGTTCTTTTGCTGTTCAATCACCGTTCTTTTGTCGTTCAATCACTCCTCTCGTGCTGTTCCATCGCTCTCCTCCTGCTGTTCAATCACTCCCCTTGTGCTGCGCGACGCTGAAAGCTGCGGCCAACCCGTGATTTGCAGGACGCTTATGTCGGCAGCCGTTTCACCCCGAGGAAGAAAGAATGAGGGACAGGGCCAGAAAGTGTTGTTGCGAGAGATTAACGAGCGCGCAAGGGAAACTCTCCGCCGTAAAAAAGATACACTTGCGCTTACACGAACTCTCACGTACACTCATAAACGCACATGCGCTTATGCACACATACATGTATACATATACATATACGTACACTTACACATACGTACATATACGGACACATACATATACGGACACATACATATACGTGCACATATATATACGTGCACATGCATATACGATCATCTACTATGCGTACATATGCATATACATACACACGCATATATGTACACACACACACACACACACACACACACACACACACACACACACACACACACACACACACACACACACACACACACACACACACACACACGCACACACACACACACGCACACACACACACACGCACACACACACACACACACACACACACACACACACACACACACACACACACACACACACACACACACACTCTCTCTCTCTCTCTCTCTCTCTCTCTCTCTCTCTCTCTCTCTCTCTCTCTCAAACTCACACACGCCTGAACATACCCACGCAAGCAAAATGCGAACAGATTGTCTCCGGTGGTAATACATTAGCGGCAGCGGGAGGGGGGGCGGGAGGGAGAGGGAGGGGGAGGGGGAGGAGAAGAAGAGGGGGGAGGGGAGAGTGGCAGATAGAGGGGAAAAGGGGGAAAGGAGGGTAGAGATGGAGGGGAAGAGGAAAGGAAAAGGGGAGAGAAGGAGAGGGTTGGAGGGAAAGTAGAGAGTCGGAGGAGGAGAAGGAGGGGAATGTGAGAGAGGGAGAGGAAGGGGGGGGGTAGGGGAAAGGAGGAGGTCGTCTTGTCTCTTATTACCCTATGGAGGCGCTTCACTTTTCTTAAGAAGGAGAAATGTGACTGTTATTCGTTGTAAGGAACGTGTCCTCCCGTGAGATGAGGATTTCCCCAGCTGCGTTCTCTGCCTTAATGTCGCTTCGTGTCTCTCTCTCTCGCTCTCTCTCTCTCGCTCTCTCTCTCTCTCTCTCTCTCTCTCTCTCTCTCTCTCTCTCTCTCTCTCTCTCTCTCTCTCTTTATCTCTCTTTTTTCTCTCTGTCTGTCTCTCTCTCTCTCCCTCCTCTCTTACCCCTCTCTCATTTCGTTCCTTCATTCTTCCCTTTTCTCTGTCAGCCTCTCCCCTCCCCTTTCTTCATTCATCCCTCCCTCTATCCCTCCCTTCCTTCTATCCCCCCCTCCTTCCTCCTATCCC